ACGAACACGGAGCTTTTCGAAAACGCTTTTCAAACCGGAGGATTTGAAAACGCCGGCTTTGCGGTTCAGTGGGGTCATAAAACATTTTGAAAACGAAACTTGTCGAAAACGATGAGGTTACGTTAATCCTGACATTTTCCCTGCTGGAGTTTTACTCGAACACAAATCCAAAATGACCCGTGATTGTTGCGGTTTAAAATTCCTCCGGCGTAGTGTGGGCAGGGGGCTAAGTTATCTCACAGTAGTAATCTGCTTGCCACTGTTGCTGTTGCTTTGTCGTTGTTCCGTAATGATTTCACAGGCGACGTAAACAACAACAACAGCAGCAGCAAATTTACCTTACATAAGCAACAGAGCGTTTTCACTCGCGTGGCCAGCACCACACAAATTTATTGGAGCAAAAGAAAGTGTTCACATAAGAAAGGAGTTCAACTCCCGCAGGATTGTTTCCGGGCAGCAACATGACTGCCGTGAAGTCAAGTGAAAATACTCTTTATCCTCACAGCTAACATTGAATAAAACTATGGCAACCGGTAAGAAGTTTGAAAATTTCGCTTTTCTGAAAAAATATTTTTTTAAAAATACTTGAATTTCTTTCACAAAGCGTAAATAGGTGAAATAACAGACCTACTCTGTACAAGCCGCTAAACAAAAGTTAAAAACATGGCTACAACTTGCAACATTGTATATTCCAAGCGTAGAGTATTGTTTGAAAACTTGCCAAGCCAGTAAAATGTACATAAAACGAAATTAAATTATTTTCATGTTCGATTTTACATCGTGTTGTAACAACTTAAGTTATCTTCATATACACGACGGGAATTTTAAAGTTCCTATTTACAGTTTTACTTTCGAAAATAGGAAAAACTTCTGAAGTTACACGTCTAAGTAGCTCTAACTGTTGATCTGTTTTATTTTACAAACTTGTCATTTAAACCCTACTCGCAAATTCTGAAAAATCTTTGAAAGGAAACGAACGATGCAAGATACCGTGATTAAAGAAAAGGGCAAGAAAGTCATGTTGTGAAAATTTAGCTGTCAGCTGAGGAACGACGCTGAGATCTGTAAAATTACTGATCGCATAGGAATTGGTTGAAATCAAGCTCTTAGCTGAG